AAACACGATTAACGGAAAGCATGATACGATAGGATACACGCACGATACGATAGGATACACGCACGATAGGACACGATAGATTTGTAAAGAATAACGATGCGGGTACTGTATATATGCCTTGTATATCTTAACAGTTGATGCTCTCTTATGATACAGTAATTTATGTATCTATTTCATACATGGAAATCCATTGCAAACAGGTGCATGCGTGAAACTTTTGATTTTGTACTTGTCATGAAAAATCTATGAAAACCAGAGAGATGTCGTTTCCAAGCCCTTAAGTAAATGATTGGTGCTTTCAGATAATATATGTTAATGTGTCACCTCTCAAGAGATGGCATTTAAAGTATTAAACCTGAAATAAAGCCAAGGTATAAAAAAATCTATTTTCACTAATTGTGAAAAACACAAAGATAAAAATAAATTGATGTTTCGATTGTTCATGAATGTTTTATAAACTTAATTAAAATTTTTGTTTCCAATTCACTCTATGCTTTTGAAATTTTAATAGATAAAAGTGTTTTGATTATTTAGCAATGCTACAATATAAACTATGAGAATTTTTTCTGTTTTTCTAAAATTTTTAGAATATATTAGTTATTGTTATATCCTTCCTTTATTTAATTAACTTTTACATATCGTAAATTCATCAAATAAAGATACAAAATGATGCAAAAACAAAAAGTTTTGATTGTTAAATACCAAGAGAGAAAAATGCTTTTACATTTTTTTGGCTTTAATTCGTACTCCTATTGGAAGCTTATACGAATATGATTCTAGTTTGTTTGAAAAAAAAATCATATTTATTTAAAAAATTTAGGAACATTTGTACCTTATTATAAATTAATTTGACATTTAAAGATTTCTTCATGTCTTTGAATGTGTAAAAGTTATGACTAAATCAATGTTCTATATTAATTTTGAAAGACAGAAAAGATCATACGCCACCATTTCGCAAAAATATAGTCCCTGCTAGTTTTCAATACGGTATACCGTTTCTTTTTAAGGTTGTACAATTGTTACGAGGAAAGAAAAATATCGTCTTTAAAATCCCTTACACCTAAATATACATATATATTAAACATTTAACCAAATGAACTTTGAATAATTCATCTTGTCAGTCAGAAACTAGAGAAGAATCCTATCTTCCTTAATCCCTTTGTTTCATCATCATAAACGTGTAAACTGCATTCTATTCCGTAGATAACATTAGAAGATTTGCAGTTCAGATTTTCCAAAGTTTAGTATAAAGGTTCTGTTCAGTAAGATTACTGGTGACGGAAGTGTTAGTTATTATCCTAATAACCTAGCAATTCAATCTTAAACTCTGCATAAATTCGATAATGCAGATTTTCTGAAATACTAAAGCATCATTTCTCTTATAGATACATAAAAATAGCATTGAGATCCCACTCTATTTTTTTCAAAATGAGAAAACATTACTAATCACGACATATGAAAACACACTGAAAGTTTGAAAAATTTCCTTAAAATTCTCATTTTTTTTTTTTAAAAATGTTATTTCTCACAGTTTCAAAAACTATATCACTTTCAGGACTTTTTCTTAGAGTGGGGTTCATTCTGAAATAAATATATATACCTTGTATATCTTAACAGTTGATGCTTTCTTATGATACAATGATTTATGTTTGAGTTTACCACATAGAGATAATTTTTTTTTCATTTTTCAATTATCATGTTTTCATTTGGTCAAAAATGGCCATATTTAATTCATTTCCATTGCAAACAGGTGCATGTGTGAAAGTTTGATTTTGTACTTGTCATACAAAATCTATGAAAATCAGAGAGATGTCGTTTCCAAGCCCTTAAGTAAATGATTGGTGCTTACAGAGAATATATATTAATGTGTCACCTCTCAAGAGATGGCATTTTATAGTATTAAACCTGAAATAAAGCCAAGGTATAAAAAATCTATTTTCACTAATTGTGATAAACACAAAGATATAATTTATTGATGTTTCGATTGTTCATGAATGTTTTATAAACTTAACTGAAATTTTCGTTTCCAATTCACTCAAAGCTTTTAAAATTTTAATAAATAAAAGTGTTTTGATTATTTAGCAATGCTACAATATAAACTATCAGAATTTTCTCCGTTTTTTCTAAATTTTTTTAGAATATATTAGTTACTGTTATATCCTTCCTTTATTTAATTCACTTTTACATATCGTAAATTCATCAAATAAAGATTCTAATTGATGCAAAAACAAAAAGTTTTGATTGTTAAATACCAAGAGAGAAAAAATACTTTCACATTTTTTTGGCTTTAATTCGTACTCCTATTGGAAGCTTATAAAAATATGATTCTAGTTTGTTTGAAAAAAAAAAATCATATTTATTTAAAAAATTTAGGAACATTTGTACCTTATTATAAATTAATTTTACGTTTAAAGATTTCATCATGTCTTAGAATGTGTAAAAGTTATGACTAAATCAATGTTCTATATGAATTTTGAAAGACAGAAAAGATCATACGCCACCATTTCGCAAAAAATAATTGTTATAAGGAAAGTAAATAACGTCTTTAAAATCCCTTACACCTAAATATACATATATATTAAACATTTAACCAAATGAACTTTGAATAATTCATTTTGTCAGTCAGTAACAAGAGAAGAGGATATCTTCAGTAATCCCTTTGTTTCATCATCATAAACGTGTAAACTGCATTCTATTCCGTAGATAACATTAGAAGATTTGCAGTTCAGATTTTCAAAAGTTTTGTATAAAGCTCTGTTTAGTAAGATTACTGGTGACAGAAGTGTTAGTTATTATCCTAATAACCTAGCAATTCAATCTTAAACTCTGCGTAAATTCGATAACGCAGATTTTCTGAAATACTAAAGCATCATTTCTCTTTATAGAGACATAAAAATAGCATTGAGATCCCACGCTAATTTTTTTCAAAATGAGAAAACATTAATAATCACGACGTATGAAAGCACACTGAAAGTTTGAAAAATTTCCTTAAAATTCTTAAAAAATAAAAAAATCTTATTTTGCACAGTTTAAAAAACTATATCATTTTCAGGACCTTTTTCTTAGAGTAGGGTTCATTCTGAAATAAATATATATGCCTTGTACATCTTAACAGTTGATGCTTTCTTATGATACAATGATTTATGTTTGAGTTCAATATATAGAGATAATTTTTTTTTCATTTCTTAAATTATCATGTTTTCATTTGGTCAAAAATGGCCACATTTAATTCATTTCCATTGCAAACAGGTGAATGTGTGAAACATTTGGTTTTGTACTTGTCATGCAAAATTTATGAAAATCGGAGAGATGTCGTTTCCAAGTCCTTAAGTAAATGATTGGTGCTTACAGATAATATATGTTAATGTGTCACCTCTCAAGAGATGGCATTTTATAGTATTAAACCTGAAATAAAGCCAAGGTATAAAAAATCTATTTTCACTAATTGTGATAAACACAAAGATAAAAATATATTGATGTTTCGATTTTTCATGAATTTTTTATAAACTTAATTGGATTTTTTCCCCAATTCACTCAAAGCTTTTGAAATTTTAATAAATAAAAGGTTTTGATTTTTTAGCAATGCTACAATATAAATTATCATGGGAGACTTCATCAATCTGAAATAGGCAGGCCTTTAAGACTGCCGTATATATTTCAGAAAAAAAACATAAAATGTTACATTAGAATATAATTTGTGATTATAAATATCTGTAATCCGTTGAAGATGACCAGTTTTTACCGTATTGGTCAATTTCTTGCTTTGTTACGGATATGCTATACTCAGTGTTCCGATCCATTCGACCCAAAAACTCTGTTTATTAGCAATTTTAAAAATTCATCACTTCCAGGTTTTAACCCTTTGACAAATGCTGACATTGCAATGTGTATGATGGTTTGTTCCAAGTTTCAGTTGTGTCGCTCAGTGGATTGGATACAAGAAGAAAAGACATGCCGGCTAAACACAAGATTTTTCTTCAAGAATAATAGTATTCAAATCATTAAAGGCCCAACCTTTCATGTCCAACGGAATAATTTTCCAACAATATGAAGGAGATGTTAACATTTACATGAGACTGAATTTAATGATATTTTATTAATTTAAACTCTAAGTTGTTTTTTTTTATTTAATTCTAGCATTTTGTGGGCAACTGTCTGAATCCTACCTGTACTGAGGATGAAATTTGTATCGCTAGTACATGTGTTCCTGTTTTAGAGGGTAAAATATAACGTCAAGTAAACTTATTGGAACAAATGTTTTTAAAGTTAAGCTTAAATTACACTTTCTTTCGGTGGGGAAAAAAGTGATGCACATAAGTCGGAAAAATTAATAGTAACTGTTTCATCGCCATCACTCGGTGCTCTTAAATTAAAAGTTGTAAGTAATTCGGACTAGACCTTAAAAATCGAGGACTTATGTAACGTTTGGTGTTTTTACGATAAAGAAACCTGTCTGCTCAAAGGCATTGAGTGCAAAGTAAAGTCTAAATTTAAAGCCTTTTTTCGGTAAATTGTGACGTCTTTATTTGAGTGAAGACTTCCCAAGCTGGACTAGGGACCATAAAGCTTAGAGGAGCTTACTTTTGATCTCAGTCTCAATTTTCCCCTATTTCTTCCTTTGGAAAAAGTGAGACTAAGATCAAAAGTGAGCTTGTCTTAGGTTTATGGCCCCATTCCAGGACGTAAGTCAAAATACAATCAATCAATCACTCTTATCGCACATTTTCCAAATAATGTAAATTTTCTTTGTCTTCAAGATTCGTTATCCTGACGGAATTTAAATTAATTCCTAATTGAACAGATTAATTTACCTTGACATGACTATATATTTAATTATTTATGCATGTATTTATATTTTCTATCCCGATTTTAATTGCTATAGCCTCAGTTTCTGTAAGAATATTGTAAAAGGATCAAAATGATATTTCTGTTAAACGTCTATTTTGTTAAAAATCAACAAACATCCAATTTTAAATCATTTGTGCCTGAAAATGTGCGTAATGCAATCAGCTACTGAAGATTGTTCAGATATTGTGAAAAGAGACCCAAACAAGAGAGGACAAGACGGTGTGTACGTTATTTACCCTGACATCCGAAGAGAGGTCTACTGTGACATGACGACAGATGGAGGAGGGTGGACAGTGAGTAGTTTTTCTTCATTTTTTGTATTATTACCGATTACTTAATATTTTTTAAATTGGCTGTTTCTATGGACAGTGGAAAGGGTAAAAAATACCATAATGAGAAAACAAACATCAATGACCATAAAAACGTTACAAATGATATACAATGCATCATCAACAGCCCTTTTTGTAGAACAAATATACATTAAAGCAAAATCAACGACCACGAATGTAACAAACAAATATGAATACAAAACGAACGATCATTTTTGCAGAATAAAAGTACATAAAACACGAAAAAAAACTTAACAAGCGTGCAAGGGGTAAATCTAGTCTTCCCGACTTCCGCCGGTCCAGGATTATTTTTTTTTTTGGTCGGTGCACAGAAACTCTTTAAATTTTTCAGGCACATTTTCTATTTTTAAGCGAATTTATTAATGTGTAAAAACGTTAGTATTTCAGTGAAAATTATTGGTGTTAATAAAAAATGATAATTTTTAATCAATTCTATAAAAAAAAATCATAACATCAAAATGATTGATTTCAGAAAAGATTTCTATCAAGATTATCATAACAATAGCTAAATCTGACATTGTACTTATGGTAAAACCATGCAAAATGACAGTCTTGCATTGTTATACAGTGACGTAGCATCGTTTTCAAGAAGGGGCAACCAAAAAAAAAAAAAAACAATTAAAACTACCTGAAAAAAAAACTTGACAAGCAAAAAAGGGGGAAATTAAAAGGAAATTGCCCAAACTTCTTTCAGTACCAAATTTTCTTCCTAATATGCTACATTACCATTATTCGACTCTTACTCTTACAAATAGTGGGGGGCGGGGTGGGGTGGGGTGGGGATTTGGGAGCAACCGGCTTTTCAATGAACATTTTAAATAGTAAAACAATGGAGATGTTGCTACGTGCCCGTTATATAGCAGTATATATTATACATTATATATCATACAATATTGAATAAATAATACTATTAATGATATAAATGAAATTAAATAAGGTTTCATAGTTCAATACAAAACCTAGATCCACCCCTTTACCTGTGAGCAATAAAGGTTAAGGTTATTCTTTTGGGGTTCTGTCTTTTTATTGGTTGTGGTTCTGAGTAGTTCTCAGAGAGACTACTTAGAGGTTTTGGCCAGGTTGGCAGTGTTAAAATTTACAGAATATTTAGACAAAAGAATTTTAAGACTTTCAAAGACTTGAGACCTTAAGACCAGACCTGGTAGTAAGTATTTACTTTATTAACATTCTATATCTTTATAATATTTATATTTAGCTAAGATCACTGTTTGAAAGAAGAACAAAAGTTTAAATTATGAATGAAAACTAAATATTCAGTATTTCATCTCAGAGAATATATTTATTTGAATCACGAGTATTGTATTATGTATAGTACAGTTCATAGTATTTGTTATTAGATAATATGTAAGCTGAAGCATCCAGTAGTTTTTGGTGTTTTATGGAATGGGCCTTGTCCCATAGAGAGGTAATAAGCATATATTACCTTTTGTATATTTTAAAGTAATAATTATATATATCATTACATTAATTGAAATGTGATTGTAAAATATGTGTGTAAAGACTATACAGTGATTTATTTATATGCTAAATATTTAAATTAAGAGAGATAACTCTTAACTGATATTTATTTTTTGTACATCAAAGTAAGTAAGGAAAATAGAATGTATACATTTGTTGTTATTTCATGTGATTGTTATTGTTTTATTTTATGGGGCAATTCATTTATTTTCCTACTTTGAGCATCAATATTATAGAATATGAACCCTAGACAGGAGTTGGTTATCTTTTCATCCTGTATATATAAACCACCCCTGCAACAGTTATATGATAGGTGTTACTGTAAAGTTAAGTTTTTATAATGGCTGGTTGTAATGTTTAAAGAATTGAGGAAAATCAATTTATGTAACAACAACAAAATTAAAACATCCGTCAGGAGAATGAGATTTTTTTTTTCATTTTATGTAAATTCTTTTCTTCCAGTTGAAGTTTTTAAGATAAATTAACCAAAAAGAAAAGAAGGGGAAAATATTAAAGGGGGACTCTGAGGTATAGCCACGTTCACGCTGTAGAGCCTGGGAACACGAACATTATGTGGCAAAGAGTTCTACAAGAAAAAAATATGTGTAGAGTTTTTGTGCATACAAATTATCTGGCATGTAATTGAGGTTTTCTTTTATTTTATATAAAAAAAAACATTGAACCTCAATTTGTTGTATTTAATCGCGATTCTACAAAGTTTTTCAGTGGTTTTCGCATTTATAATTTTTGCAGGTGATACTGCTGATTTCTAAATAAATACGCAAATCTGTTAATTTTTTTTTACATAGTAATAAATTCATGTAAACCTACAAAATTTACCTGAGAAGTTTGAAGAGTTTAGAACTGTGCACCGACCAAAAAAAAGCGCCCCAAAACCAAAATTTCGGGACATTCGGGAGCCGGGAGTCGGGAAGACTAGCTTTACCTCTTGCACGTTTGTTTAGTTTTTTTTCGTTTGTAGTGTGTTAAAGCACGTTCGTTCTGCAACGATGATTATTCGTTTTGCATTCATATATATTTGACTACCGTCATGAGAAAAGGGCACTTATCTTTTGACGTCACAATGATCAGAAAACGACGTCAAAGTCGCGGTATTGTAAACACGGAAGTAATTTTTGTTGACTGCATTTTGTAAACAAGAAATAAAATTGAATTTCAAAGTGTAACAAAAATGTAAAGCTTGATGCGGACTTTTTTTTAATAGGTATATGATATTATTACAATTTAGTACGTAAATTTATTCATAATTTTGTTCAAATATTTAACTTGATGCTGATATACGGGACATTGGACATGCACAAATTGCTAGCTCTGGAACAGCGATTAAAACGATGTCTATGCATGACAAAATTGAAGATGCTGTTTTTTTTTTTTTTTGTTTTTTTTTTTTTTTTGTTTTCTGGGCAATTTAAGAATACTTTAATTTGAATTCATGTTAAGAAGTCTCAATATCAAAGGTATATTCCATGTACTAGACTAGTATATTTTTTTCAGAGAGAGAGAGAGAGAGAGAGAGAGAGAGAGAGAAGAGCGAGCGAGAGGTCTATGCACATATAGTAATTACCGTTTTTATAAGAGCTACTTTTCCCCTGTAAATATATATTTTACCATAATGTAATAATGTAAAACATACAGAATGTATTTAGTCATTTTAATTTTAATCCATAGTTAATTACACTGATGTACCCCGATGGCCAGCCTTCGATGAACTGTCGATTTTATTATTTTTTTAAAGGGGGGGGGGGTAAGAAACCAAGCCAAACAAAAATCTCCGGATAAAAAGACCGGTAAATGTTAAGCTAAAAAACATATTCCCTCTTTTATTAGATAAAGATACTGGTAACATGGGAGATCCAAACCTACATCAACAGTAAATAACTTACTTTTAGTTTTAATAACTTACCTTTTACTAAATAGAGAATGATAAGGGGAAAAAAATACGGATGATAGGGATGTCACAATTTTGTTAAATTAAATTTTGTTTCAAATACTAATCTAAAATGATCAAATAAATACATTCAAAAGAATTGCATGGTAGAAATTATTTTTGTTTCAAATTTCTGAAATTGTTCCGATGAAATGATTGAATGAAAATCAACTGGAGCCTATTTTGCAATATGTTAAGAAATTAAATACAGCTACTGTAGACTTTTCCCAAAAGCATTATACCCAATGTTGAAGAAATGAACAATATTACATCGACAATGATAATATGAATGAGGAACCAAAAGGAAAAATAAAACTATAGATTAAGCAAAAAGACGTACGAATTTCCGGATATCATATATATGGCTAAAATCTCTTGAGAATACATTCACCGAAAGAGCAAAAAGTATGTAACAAATTATAATTTCCAAAAGTTATGAACATTTTTAAAATCTTTAAAAACTTTAATTAGCGTGAAATATTATTATATAACTGACTGTTGAATTCTTGATATGAAATAAATAAACCACATTTTGCGTTGAAATCTTCAACTCTGATACATGTATCAAAATACCCCGCATATCTTGACATTAATTTCTTAAAGTTCCGTTGAAATCGAGATAAGACTTTATATCGTAATCCTTACATGACCCTACGGAAAGTAATTAATAAAGAAACACAAATTTTTCTTCTTTTAAAGAAAATATTGATCATTACAATCGCAGCAAGTAGCAACGGGGTAGGGGGTGGAGTTTACATTGAAAGTCCCTCCCCCCACACACCATCACCACCACACACACACATACACACTCTTTGTTGTAGTATAGTCAAATTCGTGCACTATAGGGCTAAAGAATAAGGCAGTGTCTTATGTTTGATTAAGAAAATTTGATACTAAAAGAAGTTTGCACCTACCCACCCCCCTTTCTGCCCAACGGCGAAATTGGATTCGAGTTTCGACACCCCCCTTTTTTAAGGTAAATTTATTTATTTTTTCTGGCTTAACCATCCCCCAAATTTTTCAAAGGAGTTAGTGTGGGGACAGGCGAAGGCACGAGTCAAATGTTTTTATTTAGGGATATGTTTGGTATGTTCTGAATGTAACAACTAGAAAAAAATGGTCCGCCTAAGTAAATATTTCAGCGAAAGAGAGTCAGATTAGAGCGGTATAATATTTACTTAATTAACAGCATCGCCTCAGACAAAAAGCATTAAGGTATGTTGTACATAATAGTTCATCATTGGATAAGACAATCGCATCGAAATTTTGAAAAGCTTATATCAAGTTGATTAGCCATTCACGGAGGAAAATGAATACTAAGTAGATGACCGTTCGTGGCCGTGAAAAATTGTTTCGCTTGTCAAGGAAAATTTGGTGATTGAAAGTGCCTACATGTACAACTGAAAAAAAATATAGCTCCCCCAACTGAAATGGCTTCCTAAGGGCCTGCCGTTCTTGCGTAAAAATACAGTGGACCTTCAGATATCCGGAAGCCAGATATCTGGATGTATCCGAACGATTTTTCATCGGGACGAAAGTTTTATTAACTGGTAATTCCGGTATCAGGACGCTTCACATATCCGGGCAAATTGACTAGGAATCAAAGCATCTGGATAAATGAGGCTCCACTAAGTATACATTCAGTTTCAGTTTCAAATAGATTTCGTCAAAATCTTAATATGGAAATGTAATTTCGCACAGAAAAGTCAAGACCGTTTAGTGTAAATATAATAAAAAGAGACAAGAACAGCACAATTGCCATCTTTTTTATTAAATTATACAATATTATACATAGATATTTTTTTGAGATAAAAGAAGCGGCCCTTGTTAGAAAAATACAAATGTTGTGTTCATGTGAAACAGGGTACAGGTGCCACAAAATATATTTTAAAAAAAGGTAAATGAGCAGAAATATTTGTAACCGATTTTTATTGTGATTTAATTTGAAAAAAAATAAGAAGTCAAAAGACGGTTTATATTTGAGGCATGAATTCAAAGAAAGTTTCAATTTTAGGTATATAATTCATTTGTCCTTTATTTGCCAATTTACTACCACGTTTCTACTCCATAACTAAGACAGGCGACGAAAATGAATTGTATACACAGTGGAAACCTAGAGCTTTAAACATTTTAATTTTTAAATAAAATGTTCAAAAACGTAAAAAAAAATTTAAAATCCGCTTGCATGGAAGAAGGGAATTTTTTCATGAATGTTTATAAAGCAATAAACGTTTTTAAAAACAAGTTTACATATCCTAGCGTATCTGAATTTTTTTCTCAATTGAATTTTTGGTGATACAGAAAATTTATGGTGTTTTTTTTTTATTATAGTAACAGAAGAAAGTTACTTGCGTGTGTGATTGAGAGTGGATAATGTCTCACAAGTTTTTTTTTATTATCGGGATCGATGTTCTTTTTGCGAGGGGTGCCCCTATTTGCTCGTGGTGTCCTTCTGCATGGGATTCTCTATCTATGTATATATTTCTTTTAATCTTTAAGTGTTACAAATTCTTTATATAAAACTTGAATTAGATTATTTGATAAAAAAAAGAATGATTTTTATGGATTTAAACAAATATTATTTACCTACTGATTATGTTATAAAGCGTTCCTATATTCTGTCTAGACCCCCCCCCCCCTCCCCCTCCCTTTTACGAATTACTAGATCTGCTCTAAAATAAGCATGGAAATAGTAATAACATACGAAATCCCTCAGGAATAGTTAAATACTAGTCGCTTGGAGGAAAAATAATAAATACTTTCTCATATTTTAAATGCTCAAAACGATTGAGGTTATTTAAATAACACGTGATTTTAAGATTTTTTGAAATTTGAATAAAACGCAGGCGACGTCATTTCGTTTTCAGTGAGTAACGTCAAAGTTATTTTTTGAAGCGCCTCACTAAAATGCTCATAAAATATCGAAAAAGTGAGATATTTTCAAAATTTATGTATATTTGCATTCAGAAAGAGTCCGGCTATCAAAATTTACCAAAAAGTCAATTTGTGAAAATTTGACCTTAAGGGCCCTTTTTTCGTGACGGCAGTCATTTGTTTCGTACGTGGTCGTTGGATTTGCTTTAATGTATATTTGATCTGCTAAAAGGTCTAATATTTATCCTCTTTATCACTTGTTAAGTTTTAATGGTCATTAAAATCAAAATAATTGTTTGTTTTCTCATTATGGTAATTTTTGCCCTTTCCGCTGCACAAATGTTTCAACTTTATAAAAATCTTTGACAGTTTCAGATGTTGGAACTTATCATGAAAATGATTTAAATGACAAATTTCAGTCGAAACGCAACTTTGTTTTCTTGATTATAATATACACCAATCATTGAGGGATGAGCTCTGACATAAAAAACAAAGGACAATTTAATTGCGACTCAGAGATTTACGGTACTTAGTGTAAGAGAACAAACTGTCCACAAATTTCTCTTTTAGATCTGGTTCCTTAACTATTTTACACAATGACAATTAATCATAGCTGGGCAAACAATGTTACATTACCCAGTAATCTGTTTCGTCCCATCACATATTTGTAAAAATTAGTATATAATGGCATTTCTTCTTATTATTTGGAACTTTACATACTGTGAAATCACAAGTTTTCGTGGGGGTTAATTTTCCTTTTTTTCGAGGTATGAAGAAACCCATAAATTCTTGTCCCAACGAAATTTAAAATGTGACATACATAACTTCTCAGCATATTCTTCAACAATTCAAATCCAAACAAACCAAGAGATCTTTGCTTAAACCACGAAATTTTGACCCTACGAAATAATGTGATTTTACAGTATAACATAGTGGTCGATGTTTATTTTTGAAAGAAACACAACATTGATATATCAATCAATGTATACAGGTCATTCAGAGGCGAGAAGATGGTGACGTGGATTTTTACAGGACATGGACAGAGTATAAAGAAGGATTTGGAAATATCACTAAGAACCACTGGATTGGTAGGTATTATTAGTTACATATTGTCGTAGTCACAGTTTTCGGGATCATTCCTGGTTGGTAAATTTCATACCCGGCGAGGCGGAGTCGATTTAGGTATAAAATGAACTAACCAGGTATCATCCCAAATCCCGTTGTTAAAAATTATGTAATGAAAGATATGGAGATAACAAACAGAATTCAATAAACAATACAAAATAGGAGCAGAGCAAACACGGACCTACAAAATATCAGAGTTGGGATCAGTTACCATGGAGAAGTGAGCATCTCTTGGCGACCGGTCACATCCGCTGTTCTCCCTTTCATCATCGGGAAATTACTGAAGAATTCGTCGTCAATTGAATGCAGAAATAATGGACTTAACAATTGATATAAAGAACGTCCGTCAATGATAAATTTGCTGTCAAGGTAATTCTATCGACCATAGAACTTTCGAAATGATAACTTTCAACGAGACTGCTTATATTCTTGTTTCATCATCTTGTTTGTCATTAATTTACCTCTTTTTAGAAATTGTTCATACGTAGAGCTTATTTTTGCGCATTGAACCATTTGTGACATAAAGTCCGTACGAGTGTGATTTATATAATACACAGACAGTAGTTTTTGCATAAAAAAAGAAATGAAAAAAAGAAGAGACGTTTTTAAGCTTGTAAATTATCTAATGTACAAAACCTTTTTCCAAAGGGAATGATGCAATCCATGCCTTAACAAAGGATAAAGACAAAAATCTCCGCATTGATCTCCAGAGGCATAACGGACAAAAGGCCTATGCAGTGTACACCAATTTTTACATCGGGGATGAAGACAATAAATATACTCTGACAGTGTCTGGATACAGTGGAACAGCGGGTGAGTTGTGTGATCTGCCGATGTATGAGTTACGTTCAAGATATGATGCAGTTGCAATATCGACCGAATACTTTTTTTTATAGCTTGTTAAGATATTTCTTTGTACATGTGTGTATAATAGAATATTTCATGTTTTACGAAACTTTCCTCACTATTAACATCCACGATATTGTGTCTCTATAAATTCTGTTGATAAACCTTAATATTTTTTGTTAAGTTCTCTCTCTGACATCGATCTTTTCGATATCAGCAATATTGCTTTGTATAACTATGTTATAACTCAATTCTTAAAATAAATTATTTATATCAGAATCGGTATCAATACGATATCATCATGGAATTGTCAATATCGACAACATCGACATTACACTTTACCTCACATATGGTATCCAGTATTTCAAATCTATGGTTCTAGTCAGAATCGATAGTGATATGATATCGATATGGTAATACCGATACCGAAATGATAATATCGATACCGATATGATAATGTCAATATCGACATGTTAATATTAGTAACGCTTCAAAAAGTAAGTAGGAGGGGAGGGGTCAACTTCCCCGAAAGATTATGAAGAACATTACAAGCAAAAAATCAAATCTGTCGAAAATGGGTGAGTCTGGGGTGAAACTGTGGAGTTTGTTATTGCTTGACCTTACAGCTAGAAAAAGCAGGGAAAAGAACCAGAATGTAAATAAAACAGAATACATGGGGGACCACTATCCCCAACACCACCACCTTCTAAATGCCTTTTTATATCGACAATAAATGAAGGAAAATGCATAGAGTGTAACGTATATATACGTATTGCAGTACAAGGTGAGGTTCGAAATCACGAATAGATGGTTTTCATCAAGATTGTGGAATCGAGTTTCAAATTTACATATACATCGTATACACATCTATCATATTTCAGATATTTTTTGCCAAAAAAACATTTATACATTCAATTTCGAAAAAGAGAACAGAGGATGACTCATTAAATGGTATATCATGAAGACCTAGACTCGGATGACTACAATGGTCGCTAGTATTACATTACGTCATAGATATTTTCTCAATGATTAGTAAACTTCAGTGTTTTTTATGTTCTAGGTGACGGTTTGGCTGATCACAATAGTATGAAATTTACCACTAAAGACCAGGACAATGACGGGGGCGCTGGTAACTGTGCCAGAGCATGGTATGGAGCCTGGTGGTTTAATTTCTGTTACCAAGCCAAGCTTAATGGAAAGTATGCACAGACTGAATTATCCGGTCATGAACACATGGTATGGAGAAAATGGAAGGACTCTAAACAGAAAGCATTAAAACGGTCAAAGATGATGATAAGATCAAAATAACTTTAAGTATTAACAGACCTATGGTATTTATACAGATATTGATACTTAACGTTTAATAAAAACATGAGTACAGCATTTCTACACGATTCATTTTTTACTCAGTACAAACAATAATTTTTTTTTCGTCGTCTTAGAATAATAAGTTTCTGTGTACCAAAGTGGTCAAAAATGAGTTATGCATTTTGGCTTGTTGAGATCTACCAATCAAACACTTTTGTTTCGTTAAGGCCGGTTTACACGGTAAAGCGAGCTGTTTAAACCTTGTCGTATACAGCAAAATGTCACCGTGTGTACGCCGCTATTACACGGAATTTAAAGCTCCCCGAAATCATATATTCCACGCGTTCGAATAGAAAGTGTCTCTATTCTATACAGCAAGTTGTATGAGATTTTTTTTCTCTGGCCAATCAGAGGCCTGGGATTCGGTTGATCTATTTATGCTTCACGAACCACATCATTATTTTAAAGAATACTTTAACCTCTTTATACGTGTACCTGTACATGAGATATGGCGTGCTCCAAGAAAAAAGAACTTTGTACTTGGAGTAAGGAGGAAATGGACGATTTGATAATTCTCTATCAAGGGGAAAGTGACCTATGGGACATAAGTACCCCCAGTTATTCCAAAAAAGATTTTAGACAAAGAGCGCTGGAAAGAGTCAGCGAAGGAATGCATGGAAAATTTACTGGTATGATTGTAAATATATTGTAAAAAATAAAAAAAATCACAAATATGATTTATTGAATTATCAAAAACTATTATGATGCATTATTTATTTTTATAGTAATTGGGTGGGAGGAAGTTGTTCGCATCTATTCATCCGACCATACTAATACCTGTTTTATAATTAATATTCAGCATAATTCAAAGAAGAAAACATAATTATACTAGTGCCCGTATTTAGTTTTATTGAACATGATTCAGTTGTTTGTTTCTTATAGTTTTAGAAATTAATCAAAAGCTTCAACATCTCCGATCCTATTACGCTAGGGAACTGGCAAAAATAAACAAGAGTACAAAAAGTGGAGCAAGTACCGATGATTTGTACAAGAGCAAGTGGATGTACTTCGACTCACTGGACGCATTTCTGAGACCACAGATAACACCTAGAAAATCTGTCAGCAATTTGGTAAGTTTATGATAAATCCCATTGCCATTCAACACTGCCATTGGTATTAAAATAATCACAATACTCATCTCTCACAGATCTTGCATCAGAATTGCATCTGTTGCCACCTTGCTGAGTAATACCCCTCAAACAGCTACCTACCATTTCAGTGCTGCATCTTTTGTCAGATTCCTCTAACATGTCTTCCGGTGTATATATTTGTCTCGCTGAATCCTTCGATCTCAGATAATTGTGCAGAACACAAGACGCTAAAACAAAAATCTTGACTTTGTCAGGATCAAATGACAATGGCTTTTGGAAAATACCGAAGCGACTAGACAAAATTCCAAATGCATTTTCAACAATCCGTCTTGCCCGGGACAGTCTGTAGTTAAATACACGCTTTTCTAAGTCTAATTGTCTTTTGGGGAAGGGTTTCATAAGATAAGGTTTAAGAGGAAAGGCATCATCACCTACAATGACAAATGGTACCTCTAAATGACGCTCAGGAAGTGGGCGGGGAGGCGGTAAATTCATATTGCCACTCTCTATCATTTCTATCAAGGCAGACCTTGCCAAAATGCCACTATCATTGGCTCTTCCATTAGTTCCAACGTCCACGTATAAAAACTTATAATCAGCATCAACTAATGCTAACAAAATAATACTAAACTGATTTTTATAATTAAAGTAGGTTGAACCACTCCCTGTTGGACACTTAATCAAAACATGTTTTCCGTCAATAGCGCCAATGCAATTGGGAAAGTCCCATTGTTCATCAAAACTATTCGCAATAGCCATCCACTCTTGTTGTGTTTGTGGGATCTGAAATAGAAAAACATTTATACATGTACACATCGTATGTTTCTTATGTAGGATTGCAGTTCAGTGGAGAAAGATGATGAAGAATCCAAAGAAACGTGTGGTTCAGATGAGGGGAGGGGCAAAAAGAGAAAATCTACAGGAGCTTTGGCGGTGATGTCTGAAGCCGTAGATGTTCTCAACAAAATCAAGAACAGAAACACAGCTACAGCTCCAGTAAGCATTGTCACAGAAAATAAAAAAGAAGACCATGTTTTTGCTACGTATTTGGCAAATGAGCTAGAGAAAATAAAATCAAAGAGCATAAAAAACGAAGTGAAAATCAAATTACAGCGCGTCATATTTGAAGCTCAAGACAAAGACGACGTTGCACAAAGTCAATCCCAAAGTGAATTTACTCAAATACAACAGAATGTGTCCCCTCAAAATGTAATTAAACAGCGCATACCACTTTGGAATCCGTGTGTTTATGATGTAGAAACATCAGGCAATGCTTCCAATTACTTTTAATAATGTTGCTTTTTGTCGCATATACGACAATAAAAAAAAACAGCATTTCATATGAAATAAAGCGTATTACCTTCAAGTAATTTTCTTTCAAAGCGTTATATATTGCAATACACGTTTCTGGTATTATCGTAGAGGCTGTAGATACAGGAATGCGATAAAGATACTCGAGAGAGCGATAGCTATCACCTGAAACAAACATAAGTAAATTGTTTGAAAAGAGTTGGTTAATCCAACTCAGTGATAAAATATATGTTATATAATATATATATCAATGAATGCAAGCTTATTTTTAAGCAATATATGTATTACTAATTCGTAATACCAGTATGCTAGCTACATATTAATTCCTTTTACCAGTGGCCAAAAAACGCAGGGTTAGAGCAAGTCTCTCTGCAGGAGAAATTGCATCTCTCATGAGGGTATCTCTCCTCTGTATCAATGGCGAGACACACTGGAGAAGCTCATTAAAGGTTGCAAAATCCATTCGCAGAAAATTCTTCAAAGACGAAGGATCTTCATTCCTGAGCTCTGCAATGAGTGCATGGTATGCACCAAGGTTGTCCCTCCTCCCAATCCACTGCCTTACCCAAGGTCTCCCCCTTCTTTGTTGGCTCAAATGTAATGCAGACATGATGATGATGATACAGATTAAAATAACACATTGTTCCTCTTCCAATGTTTCCATGTCGATTAAATCGAACCTTATAAGGGCGTTTTATTTGTTTGCATAACAAAGAATTGAACATAAACCTGTTTTACCGTGTGTACAGGTAGGTAACATATTACAAAAGTTGTATACGACAAGTTGTATACAACTTGTATTACCGTGTAAACCGGCCTTTAGACAAAAACACTTGCTATATGGCCTTCAGCTCGAAATTTAGATATAACGACGACTTATTGTCAATCGACAATGGTTATTTCCATGCTTATACGATTTATCCTGATGAGCTTGAGATAGAAGATACCACAGGGTCTGACACATACGTTTCATATTTGGATATTTTAAACTTAAAAAAAAAAAGTTAATGGTAATCTAACACCAAACTCTTTGATAAACTTGATGACTTTAACTGATGTTTTGGAAGTCTGAGTTTTGTGGACTTTTGATCTTGAATACTGTTCGTTTTCTCCATATGTTAAATTGTACAGAAAAATAAATATATAAATAGAAAATAAAAGTGGACCCAAATCTAAACTTTGTTGTACTCCGTTTTTGGGGGGTCGGTGTAACATCCATTGAAGAATCAGATGTGAAAGAATATTAGGTTTTTTTCCCTAAGCACAATGATCTGTACCTAATCGACGCATGAATGAAAGTAAAACTTAGCTGTTCTATCTAAATGTCGACTTTAAGGCCACATCAAGTATTCTTCTATTCTCAAGTAGAGGTTTTGAATAAATCTTCTATTATATGAATATAAAAAACAGACCGGCTAATAAAGGAGCAAAGACAAAAAATTCCGAGTTATATTTATATCGAAGAGGCAGTCGTCTAATGATATGCAGAGCATAGTTTTAGATTTATTATGTGGAATCAACTTCATGTTAAAAAAAACTTTATTTTTTTTGTTATAGAGGTATATGAAATGTTTCAAAGTAAAGTAAATTTCATATTACTAATTTGGCGTAAAAAACTTGTGTTTGTCACGTATCATACACATTTTGTAAATAACTTACCATGAGACGATTATTTGTGCACTGGTTCATCGTCTGTGTACCAACCAACAGCCAAAGTAAAACTTTACCGGAGGTAAGCGACGAAGTGCAAAAGTAAAATTCGTGTCTGAAACATTTTTACCGTTCAGAGCATATATTCAAAATGAAATTTGATTCAGATTAGTGAAACTAAAATTAACTCAGATGGTTAAATTAATGCTGTAAATGACAGAATCATTAATAGGCAGCGCAGTTAAGGTTACAAAAAGGAGGTGTAGCCTAATTTTAATGCACATCAACCACCGTTCTGCACATGCACGAACCTGTGATATTGACGGTCGCGTGACCCTCTCCATGGCGTTATGTCACAAAAGTTGAAAGATTTTTCTGAGTTTTATATTTCTTTACATGTGAGTTAATTTTTATAACAAGAACAGTTCATTTGTCAGAAATAATCAAATATTTGAACTAGTTTAGATCAAAATTAGCAATCCTTGTAATAATGACTGTAGGATATTTAAATGAACTATTGTAACGTATGACCATAGTAAACACCTAAATCTAGTTTTATCATTTTGTGAAAAAAATTAAAAGATTGTATTGTGAAGATACCAGTAGTGGAGACCTAAATCAACCAGTGTTCACTCTATCACAGGACGTGCTGACTAGGAGTAATGAACCCTTCTATATCCATAAGATTAATAAATTAAGATTTTAAAAGGTGAAGAATACGAACAGTTATCAATCTAAACCAACTAATTTGTGAACAGGGCAAACAACACACAGTTAGAAACATTAGAGAAGTGATCAGGTGTCTAACCGGAGTTAGCATTCCCAGTTAGTCGGTCAGATCCTTCGTGAGTCCTCTTTATTAATCGACTGCTTACTTTTTGTCTGAAACACAGACAAATAAGTAGTCAAATTAAGTTTATAAGGCACGGTTGAAATATGTGGCAACCTAAAAGTTGGACTTGGAAATTCGATCTCTCGCCTAAATATTAATTGAATAAAAACTAGTCAATTTTCTAAATAATTCTCAAACCTAACATGTATGTTTCGTCTATATATTTTGTCAATTCAGAAATAGAAAACATTAAAGATATATGTGCCGTATTAGTGTTTCACTGCTAAAGAAATAAATATATGTGGTGTCTGACAAGTAAGACGAGTTATGTAATTTCTGCAATTAAGACAATTCCACTCCATCACTTTTAAAAGTTATGAAATATTATTTTGTAAAAATAATTTTCTCTCCGAGTCTCATATTAAACCGCCTCTTATTGAAACATAAATGAACACGTGGTCTCGAAAGCTCACAGCAAACAATGGTCCAATCTCGTAAATGAGCCGAAAAGTATGATGGTCTACTACGTTTTTACTACAAACCCGTGGGTTAGGGAAATGTACGATGCGATTTCAAATGACGGCTGGAAAGCCAATTTACATTTTTTTGAAACATGTTTTAGAAAAATAGGAAGAATAGTTTAACATTTCACGGTTTAATTGAAAATTACCTCTATATTAATTCTCATGTGCATTGATCGTAGAACGTTTATTGAGTAGCATACTGTATGTTTCGAAGTTGTACACATTGAAAACATTGTCAATACGTGAGCACACCTCAGAGTTAGCTGTTTTTGTACCAAGGAATATATACTCGCGTGAAATTGTCTTTTCACTGTCAGTACAGCACGGGAAAACTGTAAACAAACGGACTTGTACAATAGAGTGGGGAAAACTCTTATTTTAATCATTGTTCATTTGTATGCACATGTTAGCATGGGATAAGTAGATGATAATGTACATAATGCATTAAGCGTGTAAATGTTTGGGAAATGCACAACGTTTTTCCGAGAGCGATTTAAAAAACAAGCATGTTCGAAAAACACATGTAGTATTTATGTACTGAGTAGTAACAATGAACTGATTGGTCGATTTTTTAGTCTTGTTGGTTCCTTGCTGAGCAGACGTCACAAAAAATAGTTTCCTCGACCTGATGATTCTCGTGAAGCTTTTCCCGCGCACATGCGCAGGTCCAACATAAACGTCAGTCCTTTATAAATATACACGAGAATATCGTGTTTTTTTCCCGACCAGTACTTTGTTAATACCGAATAATATTTCGTCGAATTTGCGAGAATGCTTCATTTTTGATAGCTTATCACACTTCAGAAATTTTTGTTTGGTTTCAGTTGTGCAAAAATACTGTTTAACACGGCATACACATCTTTAACAGGATGTAGAAAAGTATGCGGTCAAGGCATAAAGGTATTTTAACATGGTAAAACTCTATAAAATATAAGAACAACAGTTACTATACTCCTTCCTAACACTCTCATTGTGTTTGAGAGGCTGACTTTCTCTCTCTCTGACGTAAGGGGTAACACCATTCATAAAGACAACGCATCTGTGTGAAAATACTTACTACATTAATTCTTTAAAATGAAACCAAAATTAAAAACACAATAGCAAGAACTAAGATATATTTTCATTTTAGGAAACTGTGTTTTATGGGTTTATTTTTGGATTTTGAAAGACAAAACTTTCATATATAATCAATATTTGCTGAATCAAACTGGATCTCACAAGATGAAACACACCCTTTAAGTCCAGCTTAATGGTGGCTTATAGGTCCTTAATGAAGGTTTAATGGTTGTCTTTAAGTCACCATTAAGCACCTTTAAGTAACATTTACACCACCATTAAGTTACCATTAAGCCAACTCAAAGTCCTTAATGGGTGCTTAAATGTAGCTTAATGGTAGCTTAATGGTGGCTTACAGGTCCTTAATGGTAACTTTTAGACCACCATTAAGTCACCATTAAGCTACCATTAAGCTAGACTTAAAGGTGCTTAATGCCCAAACTCCATTAAGCTACCATTAAGCCACCATTAAACCACCATTAAGTCACATTACGCAGTCGATAATATTGTTTATATGGTGAAAATTATTTTTATAGTGATTTGTAATCAATTTTATAAATGTAGAGTTCGCTTACATCTTGATTTGGTAAAAATAACGAAAAAAAAACGAAATTCAAAATCCCCCAAAAAACAATCGCCTCAGTCGGGGCGCGATCCCATGACCTTAGGATTGAAAAGCGAAGCCTTATCCATTAGGCTATCGCCGCTCTTGATAATATTTTGAAAATATTAAATATTTAACCTTTATTTTTTTCAAAATTTGTTTGGACTTGTGTTGAACATTTCCAAAAGTCTTGAATTGATTTATTAATGAAAATATAAACAATTTTATGTTATGGATCTTAACACATTAATATATATTTCTACACTGAGTTCGGCTTTTAGATTGATGTAATGTGATAAAGTTCTTCGCTCTGTTATTCGAAAATTTTCGAAATGTAAGCATTAAATCATGATTGAAAATAAATTACATTTATGTAATTATAGATAAAACACAAATGTGTATCAGCGAAAAAGAAAGAGGAAAAAACAGATTCTACTATTATTTTTAATATACTGCGGATATTAACGGTTTCTGTGTCAACAATTTAGTGACAATCCTCGCGTAAGAGTTACCTGGTTAATTACGTTTGCAAAAACTTTTTTTTAGAATATCATATTCAGTTTCAATTCTTTTTGTATCATAATGGGTATCAAAATAATTGATTTTTTACGGTGAATCATAATTTTTAATTTGTTATATGCTTGCGTTAAATTTAATTTTTTAAAAATAATTGACCATAAATAAAAATCTGTCAGTGTACGTTGTGTGTGTATAGTTTCCTGTTAGTTAACCGGGGACGGGGGGACACCTAATTAATGTCTATTGTCTGACCTGTCGGTTTACTGTACACTGATCATCTGTTAATCTTACCCCCTTTCTCAATGTGTATACATCTGGTCGGATGTCATGTTTAGTCTGATCGGCCGTTCCTCTGAAAATCGATTTTGAAATAACAATCATTAAGACCGACTAGATTTTGACAGATACTTACCGCTGCATTATTAAAAAAAAAGATAACGAATTGATTAGAATTATTCATGATGTAAAAGCCATTAAAA